GCTCCTCCTGTTTTAAACCTTTTGAAATATGCTAAATATCCTTTCCTAATTATTTTGTCAATTATGCTGCCTCTTCTTTTATAGCTTCAATTAAGTAATTCATTTTGTGACCCCCTCAAAATTTAAAGACTTAAATTTGTGTCTCATAAATACATCAATATATGTCAAATATATTTTCATACTGAGATATTTTGCAAATTTAGAACAAGAGACTTGTTTTCAGAGACAGCATCTTTCAACTAATAGTAATATTTTTTTAGTGGCGTGTTACCTAAAGAAACAGGACACTAAAGTTTATGTTCAACTAGTTAAATATATATACAATTATAAAATGTATTAATAAAAACATTAATTAAATTATAAATGAGATGCTTTATTTTTCTTTAAATACAGTAGAACCTCTGTAAGCTGACCACGCAAGGAACTGTAACAAGCTGGGGAGCTAGACAACATTAAGGAACTAGGCCTACTGTACTGATACGTAGATGTGGTCCATGTCTGGTCTATGAAAATTATGTCAACTTTAGGAGGTGGTCAACTGTGGAGGTTCAGGCTGGAGGGCAGTGGCACGATCAGAGCTCACAAATTCTAGGTAGGTTCAAACAATCCTCCCATCTAAGCATCCCCAGTAGGTGGGACTACAGACACACACCATTACACACAACAAACTTTTTTGTTGTTGTTTGTAGAGACAGGGTGTTGGTTATGTTGCCCAGGCTGGTCTTGAAGTCCTGGTCTCAAGTGATCCTTCTGCCTCAGTCTCTCAAAGCATTACAATTAAGAGCTGCCACTCTTGCCTTCATTTATTATGCCTTCATTATTATTATTATTATTACTATCTGCTTTTCTTACTGTTACCTTTGTTTTTGAAATCTTAGCCATAGAATCTTAGCCTACACAAATGTCCTGAAGCATGTCCCATGTGTTTCTTCCTACTAGTTTTATAGTCTTGGGTCTTAAACATTTAAGTCTTTAATCCATTTTGAAGTGATTTTTGTACATGGTAAGGGATAAGGATCTAGTTTTATTCTTCTGCATATGGATATCCAGTTTTCCAGCACCATATAATGAAGAGGGCATCCTTTCCCTAATGTATGTTTTTGGTGCCTTTGTCAAAAATCAGCTAGATGTAAATATATGTATTTATTTCTGGGTTCACTATTCTGTTCCACTGGCCTATGTGTCTGTTTTTGAACCAATACCCAGCTGTTTTTTGTTGTCTTTTTGTTTTTTTGTTTTAAAGAGAGAGATTCACTATGTCACTCACAGTAGAGTGCCACATGGCGTCACACCTCACAGCAACCCCAAATTCTTGGGGTTAAGTGATTCTCTTGCCTCTGCCTCCCACGTAGCCAGGACTACAGGTACCCAACACAATGCCTAGCTATTTTTGTTGCTGTTGTTGTTGTTGCTGTATTGTCATTGTTTGGCAGGCCCAGGCCCAGTGTATGGCTGGCGCCCTAGCTGCGGAGATATAGATGCTGAACCAATACCAAGCTGTTCTGATTACTAAAACTTCGTAGTATATTCTGAATTCAGGTAGTGTGATGTCTCTACTTTTGTTCCTTTAGCTTGGTATTATTTTGGCTATTATGAGTCTTTTGTGGTTCCATACAAAGTTTAGAGTTCTCTTTTCTAACTCCATGAAAAATGATATTGATATTTTACTAGGAATTCCACTGGATACAGAGATTGCTCTAGGTATTATATCATTTTCACAGTAGTAATTCTTTTGATCTATGAGCATGAAATGTTTCCATGTGTTTGTATCTTTTTCAATTTCCTTCATCACTTTCATAGTTTTCCTTGCAGAGTTCTTTCACCTCCTCTGTTAAAATTATTCCAGGGCAGGGGGAGTGGCTGTAGGAATTTGTAAATGGGATTGTTTTCTAGATTTCTATTTCAGTTAGTTAATTATTGATGTATAGAAACACTACTGATTTTTCTATGTTGATTTAGTAATCTATAACATTTTTGAATTTATCAGTTCTAAGAGTTTTTGGTGGAGTTTTTAGCTTTTCTATATACAAAATCATGTTATCTGCAACGTGGGACAATCTGACTTCTTTCCCAACATAGATAGACTTTATTTCTTTCTCTTGCCAAATTGCTCTAACTAAAACTTCCAGTACTATGCTATGTTGACTAGGAGTGATGAAAGTAGGCATCCTTGACTTGTTCTAGTTCTTAAGAGAAAAGGCTTTCAACTTTTCTGCTTTTATGGTGATGTTAGCTATGGGTTTACCATATGTGGCCTTTATTCTGTTGAGGTTAAGTTCTTTCTATGCTTAGTTTTTTGTGAGAGTTTATCATGAAGGAAAGTTAAATTTTGTCAAATGCTTTTCTTGTGTCTATTGAGATGATCATTTGTTTTTTGTCCATAAAGAGTAATATGTTAACTAGACATTTTGGAGACATTCCCAGACTCAGGATTATTCAAGTGACCAGCTGTTAAAATAAGTCATTCTTGTCTACCTACAAAGATTGAACCAGGAGGAAATAAAAGTCCTGAACAGACTAATAATGAGATTGAATCAATAAAAAGAAAGTCTTTCCCCCACAAAAAGAAAAGCCCACGCAGATGACTTTATTGTGAAATTCCACCAAACTTATAAAGAACTAATACCAATTTTTCTCAAACTATTGCAAAAAAAATGAAGAGGAGACCATCCTTCCTATGTCATTCTTTGAGGCTACCATTAGTCCAATACCAAAATCAGGCAAGGATGTACCACAAAAAAGAAAAATACAGGCCAGTATCCCTGATGAACATACATACTTAAATCTTAAACACAGTACTAGCAAACTGAATCCAATAACACATCAAAAAGATAATATACCATATTTAAGCCAGATTTATTCCAGGGATGCAAGGATGGTTCAACATATGCAAGTCAATTATTATGCTAAATCATTTCAGTAGAATCAAGGACAAAAAACAAATGTTTATTCTTCTAAAACAATGTCTGATGTTGCTACATATATCACAGGCTGTGACACAGTAACTGTTAAGGTTGTCACATAGGAACCTACATTTCCCTTCAGAGTACATATACTTTTTCCTTAAGATAAAAGCCATGCCATGGGTTTGAGGGATGAGATATAGGGATCTACCTGTCTTGCAGCTACTCAAGACCACACTTCTATAAATTCCCCCAATAAATCACCCTCTATCAACAAATTGCATTTGTCTGCCTCAGTCTTTTTTATAATTTGTTAGAATATAGTTTTTCATAATATGTCTCTAACAATCTACTATATTTTTATGGTGTCAGTTGTAATATCTTTTTTTCAGCTTCTGATTTTATTTATTTGGGACTTCTCTCTCCTCCCACCCTCAGTTAATCTAGCTGGTGGTTTACTAATCTTTTGAAAACAGGCACTTTATGTTTTGCTGATAGTTTGTCTTTTTAGTCTCTATTTCATTTAGTTCTTCTGTGATCTTCATTATTCTTTTCTCCTACCTATTATTGGTCTTGCTTTGTTTTGTTTTTCTAGTTTCTTGGGGTTCATCATTAGGTTATTTATAGAAAATCTTTCTGCTTTTTTGATGTAGGCATTTATTGCAATGAAATTCCCTTTTAATTGCTTCTGTTGTATCTCATGTATTTTTACGTGTTGTGTTTCCATTTTCCTTCATTTCAAGACATTTTTTCATTTCCTTCTTAATTTTCTCATTCACTAATGGTCAATAAGGATTATGTTTAATTTTTTTCTATTTGGACCATTTCTAAAATTTCTCGTTACTGGTTTTTAGTTTCATTCCATTGTGGTCTGAAGGTGCTTGAAGAAATTCTGATTTTATTTAAATTTGTTGAGATTTATTTTGTGGCCTGCTGTATGGTATATCCTGGAGAACATTCCACATGCTAATGTGAAGAATGTATATTTTGCAGCTGTTGAATAAAATGTCCTCTAAATGCCTGATAGGTCCATTTTGTCTATAGTGCAGATTAAGTCAGATTGTCATACTATTTTCTTTGTTGATTTTCTGTCTAGATGATCTGTCCAATGCTGAAAGTGGGGTGTTGAAGTCTCCAATGATTACTATTCGGGGATTTATCTTTGTAGCACTAATTAACTTTGCTTTATGTATCTGGGTGCTCCAGTGTTGGGTACGTATATATATTTATAATTCTTATACTATCTTGCTTAATTGGTCCCTTAAACTGTTTATGTCTCTTTCTATGCTTTTTGAATGGAAACTTATTTTGTCTTATAAATACTAAAATTTTTACTATTATTGCTAATTTATCAAATAATATTTATATATGTTATAGATCACAGACTAATTTTAAGAATCAAAGTGACAGGCTTAGAAACTTTAGCTGAAGAAATAACAAAAATAAATAATCAAACTTAAATGTTATTCATGTATCAGTTTTAAAGAACATAAAGTATGTTGAAACAATGTTTAACGTGCACATTCTATTACAAGAGACATGACAGACTATATTCCACATGATAAATGAGAGTATCCTATACTTCTTTGAAAGCCACCAAAGTTACATAAGTATAAATGCAAAACCAATGTGTTCAAGTATTTTTATACCTTCTTACTTGAAATTCACAACTAGAATTTTTTTTCCAAAAATATATTCCCAGATATTCTTCCCTAGATTAACATCCCAGATTGAGGATTTGATGATAGAACTGGCCTTTCAGTACATCCTGAAATGCAGAATTTCAGAACACACATAAAAATAAGACTTCCTGAAACCCATTCTCAGAGTCCCAGTTGAAAACAGGATCATTCAAATTTTAACTGCTATTATATATTATTCTCAGAAATCAAAATTTAATAAAGTGAAGTTTTATTTCTATTTGTCAGATATATGATAAAAGATTTTTACTCAATTACAACTTCTAAATAGGTATGTAATATATCAAGTGAAGATAAACTTATGGGTAGTATCATATAGGAAATGAGCAATCACTGATCCACTATAGGCTTGGTACATTTAACTCAATAGTTCAACATTTTAATTGATGGGAATTACCTTAACAAAATCTCTATCAGTCTTCTCTTTCCATTCTTCTCCAAATACAGTAGAAAAGGATCCTAAAGCTAAAAGAATAAGCAGTACATTCAATAAAATGCAATTAATTCTTACAGTTAATTATTTAATAATAGGTTGGCTTGGAGAAACAGTAACTACATTTTAATATATCTTATTCATTGGAAATTATCTTATAGTAAATGCTAGAAAGTCATGAAATTTCTTTTGAAACACATTTAGTTAGCAAATTTAATGAAAATCCTACAAATTAAAAATATATACACAATAAAGAAAGTACTATAATAATTACTCTGCATTAATTTTCATTTTTAGAGAAGGAAAATATTAAGAAGTCAAACTGATGTTATTCCTATTAGGCTTTCAGATTGTTATCATTAAAAATCTTCATATTGGCTCAGAGCCTGTAGCACAGTGGCATACACGGAGAGTGGCAGGTTCCAACCCAGCCTGGGCCAGCTAAAACAACAACTGGAACAAAAAATAGCTGGGCATTGTGGTGGGCACCTGTAGTCCCAGCTACTTGGGAGGCTGAAGCAAGAGAATCACTTGCTCCTGAGCCCAGGAGTTTGAGGTTGCTGTGAGCTATGATGCCACAGCATTCCACTGAGGGCAACATAATGAGACTTTCTCAAAAAAAAGAAAAAGAAAAAAAAATCTTCATATTATATTCAGAAATAATTATGTAACTCATACTTTAAAAAATATAAAGCAGGCCAGATATGGTGTCCCACGCCTGTAATCCTAGCACTCTGGGAGGCCAACGCAGGTGGACTACCTGAACTCAGGAGTTCGAGACCAGCCTGAGCAAGAGTAAGACCTCATCTCTAAAAAAAAACAGCCAGACATAGTGGGTGCCTTTAGTCCCAACTACTTGGGAGTCTGAGACAGGAAGATTGCTTGAGCCCAAGAGTGTGAGCTTGCTGTGAGCTATGATGCTATAGCACTCTACTGGGGACAGCAAAGTAAGACTTTTGTCTCAAAAACAAAAATAAATAAATGAAAAATAAAAAATATTAAAAATAAATAAATCAGAGTATTCCTTGAAAATAATTCCCAGATAAAACCTACTTTAAGGAACGTTCTTGGGCCTATAGCATGTTTATGTTTCTTGATAAAGGTGTTCTGTCAACAACTTTGAAAAGTCAAATCATCCGTTATCAAAAGTTGCTTTATAACAACACTGTATCTCATCCACATGTGGCCCTCATTTCACCACAAAAAAAGTTAAGGCATATAGGTACACATTTTTGTTCCTACTTTCGGTGTCAGCTCATTGTCAGTTATGGGAACAGAGTAATAACCAGTATGATATAAATGTCTAAACTTTACCAAATATGTTTTCCCCTTTAAAATTTAGGCAGCTCCTTTGTAAACTATCAGATTAATTCTGTAACAAAAGCTACTGCTTTCAGAAAACAGAATCGTGGCACTGTAAACAGTAAAAACTAGTTGTTATGAATATTAACCTTTTAAAAAAGCAAAATTAAGCCTTTTACTGGCTGAATCATGACAAGCAAAACATAATATGTCTTCTATTGTAAAAGATTTATTGAATCTTTATAGTCTTATTATGCCTTTAAGTATAAACCTAATATTTAGATACTACTGATTAAGACAGTTTGTAAAGCACTTAGGTTAGAATGAGAATTTTCATTTTTAAAAGTATTTAAAAGGGTGAGGAATAGAAACATTTTAAAAATAGGTTATATTTGCTAATGATTTTAATACTGTATGGTTATGAGAAAATGATAATAGATATAAATGTTTATAAGTTAACTATAGTGACCTAAAAAAGCATTTCATAAAATATCAAACTGACATATAAGTGGCAGCTTAATCAGAAAAATGAAGCCACTAAAGAGATACAAGGTTTTGTTTGTCCTATAAAAGCCTTATAAAAATCTTCACTGGGAAAATACCAGATAGAAATATAGGATGGAAAAATTGAATTTTTGTCACATAGAATTTTTATTATACTTCTTCAAACATAAAAAATGTTTATACATTCCACACTTTCTAAATGAAGTGGCATCTATACTTCTTTCAATTAAAATCCCATTTCTTAAAAGACAAATAAAAGTTTCTCAAAAGACTAAGAAAATCAAATCTATAATCTACAAACTCCAAGAAAAATTATTTTTATCATGTGAAAACCATTATTTTAAGTATAAAGTCTTCATAAAGTTCCTATGGTTTTCTGGAACCAAACATCCTAAGACTGTTCAATTTATAAAAACAATCCTTAAATAGGATTTGCTAAGTTACTGAGTTTTTTAGATTGCTATACTAAATAATTTAGTCTGTTAGACAAATAAAAATGCCTAAAGAAGTTTATTTCTTGGTTCACCAAAGTGATTAACCTCACTTCTATCATGTGTACCATGTGTACATCTTTAAGTCATTGATTCATGTAATTCTATTCAACAATTAAATACTAAGACTTCACCAATAATTACTCTGACTTGAGAATATATACAGTAGTCTCTCTAAAAGTTTTATTTTAAGATTTCTAAAACAAATAAAACAATTTCTAACTCCAGTCTACACTAAATTCTGAGAGTTGTATTGTAAAGGTCAAAATATCAGGAAAAAAATAAACAACTATCAGGAATCAAAGAACATGAAAGTCAGACAGAAATTCAACAAATTTGTATCGTCAAAGTTGGAACAGAAACTGAGAAGTAAAGGTCTTTCTTTGTTGTTCCCCAATGTAACCAGAAATAGTTTTGAGGAAGGTTAAGAAACTTTTACTTTTGTTTAAACTAATTTCAAAATTTTTTTCATATACAACAAAGACATGTCAAATTTCAAGGAATCCTACTTAGATAATTCCAAATAAAACTGTAAAGTATACTACTTGACTCAAAGACTAAGGAAAAATGAACTTTTGCAATGTCTATTTAAAGACAAAAAAAAAGTCATTAATCTGTAAAATGTTTTATCACATTCTCCCACAGACTCTTGTCCACCATGCTGAATATCATTTCCTATAAGATAAAATAATTTCAATGTATCTCAATTCCTTATGCTTTAATAAGATGTATTTCTGGCAAAAAAAAAAAAAAGGTAAAAACAACAGAGTTGGGATGGGGGTGCTGGAAAGCAAGCAATAATTAAAAAATGACCTAACAGATACTTTACAAAAGAAAACTTACAAGCAAGAAAACATTACAAAATATGTTCTCTAATCTTTATTCAATTACCTTTAGAAAACTGAATAATTCTGTCCAAATAGTAACATAGTCTTAAAGAAATAATTTCAGAAAAAATAAAAATTTGATTTTAAAAACCTGTAACTAACAAACTCTATAAATAAAAATTATATGAAGTATTTGATAAACCTTGTTTTGATCAAACAAAACAAGGGAAGTAAATTTTCAAAAATGTGTTTCTATTATCTAAAATTTATAGGCACATGCTTTCAGAAATAATTTGTTCCAGATTCTAGTTTTCTTTATCAGGATTTGATAAAGCAATCTTCTCAATTCAAAAAACCTATATATTACACCAAAAAGAAAAAAAAAATAGGATTTCTACTTCAAAAGCTCTGGGATAAAATTAGTATTTAAATATTTAAGGTTAAAATACTCCAAACATTTATTATAAGTCTTAAATAATGCATTTTATATAATAAAAGACCAAACAAAAAATGGTATTATGTTTTCACCTGTTTGTAGAATAATCATACAATATGTACAGCTTAAAACTTACTGTCATCAAACACCCCGGCATTAGCAAGTAATAAAGTGATGATTTTAGGGTCTTTTTCAAGTTGCATGACGTGTTTGCTTTCATTTGATAGGAGAGTGCATACATTAATAGCAAAGTCCACTTCATTTGGGAGTCCAGATAATAGTGAAAGCACCAATTTATTGTAATCATTTGGCGAATTAAAGTCCATAGATAGCCCATAACTTTGACGCAGATAATCTAACAAAGAAAAAAAAAATACCTTAAGTATATCAAGGATTGGATACACTGAATGGTTAGTATCTTTTGAATGTGGAACAGAGCTATTTATTTATTTTTTAAATAAAAGACAAACTGATTAGAAGTTCAAAAAGTTCAACTTTCTAAACTTCTTAGGTTTACTAATCATTAAAATTACATTCATGAAAAAGTTCAAATACAAAAATATACATACCCACTGGGACATCACTGTTAAAATATTATTGCATCATTATTTTAATTCATCTAATCTACCCTTTTTACTATTATATTTCAAAGGATTTATTCTGATTTACTGCAATATCATTTACAATAGCCATGATAGTATTATAATTCTATGTATTTTAACAAACATATAGTGTTTTAATCACAACCACAGTCAAAAATATAGAGTATTTCCATTAGTCCAAAATGTTTCTTATGCTTCTTTGCAGTCAATCCCATCCCCTACCACTAGGTACCATTGTTATATCTATTCCCACAGCTTTGTTTCATTTCAAAATGTCAAATAAATGAAGTCATACGGTATTAGCCTTTAGTGTCTGGTTTCTTCCATTTGAGATGCTTTTGAGATTCATATCCATGTTGAAGTATCAGGTGACTATTCCTTTGTAAACAGTTTGTTTATCCGTTCCCTAGTTGAGGAACATTAGGATTGTTTCCAGTTCTTGGTGCTTATGAATACAGCAGCTATAAACATTCACATATAGGATTTTGTGAGGGCAAATTTTTTCATTTCTCTTAGCTAAACACCTAGAAGTAGGATTGCTGAATCATACGTAAACGTATGGTTAACTTGGTAAGAAACTGTGAAACTGTTTTCCGTAGTGGCTGTAACATCTTTCATTTCTACTAGAAATCTGCCTACTAGAAATCTTCCTGTTGCTCCCCATCCTTGTCAGTGTTTAGTATTGTCAGTTTTAAGTGAAAAACTGACAATATTAAGTGCTGAATATTCTGAATATGGGCCCTTTATCTATTATTTGTTTTGAGATTTTTTCCCAGTCAGCAGCTTTGAATGTTTTTCATTCTTCCAAGTATCTTGTAAGAGAAATTTTGGTTTCGATAAAGTTGAATTTATAAATTTTCTTTTTGGTTTAAGATTTTCAGTCCTAAAAAAATCTTTCACTAAACCAAAGTATCAAATTAATTTAAACATTTATAAAATTTTGGGAGGGGGGAGGATGGGCTTACAAAACATGAAGTTATCATCTAATCATAATAGATACATATAAAAAGTTACGTTTCTGCAGATACTAAATCTTAAGTGGGGCAGTTTAGGACTTGGCAGCAATGTCCCAGGACAAATATACCAAGTATGTTTTTCAAATAAAGCTATAACCAGTTTAAAGGAAAGGCAAAAAACCTAGAGTTAGAAAACTTCTAGATGAAACCTTTCAGAATATCTGGATTTTTCAAACCTGGCCTGGGCATGCTACACAACAGAATAGTCAGGCCTGGCAGGCGCCTGTAGTCAGAAATAACTGGATTTTTAAAAAAAGTTTAAGAAAACACCCCTTTAAATAGAATGGAAGGAAATTTACTGTCACAATATACCAGCTAATTTTAAAAAATATTTTGTAGTGATAGGCTCTTGTGCTATGTTGCCCAGGGTGGTTTCAAACTTCAGATCTCAAGTGATCCTTCCACCTGGCCTCCTAAAGTGCTGGGATTACAGGAGTGAGCCACTATGCCTGGCTAATTTTGACACTTCTATATTACAAATTAGAATTTATGATAAGCCTAACCTCAGCAACAGTTAATTAATTAATTAATTAATTTTTTGAGACAGAGCCTCAAGCTGTCACCCCGGGTAGAGTGCCGTCGCATCCCAGCTCACAGCAACCTCCAACTCCTGGGCTCAAGAGAGTCTCTTGCCTCCGCCTCCCAAGTAGCTGGGACCACAGGCACCACCACAACACCCGGCTATTTTTTGGTTGCAGCCGTCTTTGTTGTTTGGCAGGCCCAGGCTGGATTCGAACCTGCCACCTTAGGTGTATATGGCTGGCGCCTTAGCCACTTGAGCCACAGGCACCAAGCCAGCAATAGTTAATTTAAATTTTTAGGTTCTATTTACCATTCTCTTGCTCTCTTTTTTAAAAGAGAGTCTCACTTTGTCGCTTTCTGTCAAGTACTGTAACGTCATAGCTCACAGCAACCTCAAAATCTTGGGCTCAAGTGATTCTCTTGCCTCAGCCTCCCTAGTAGCTGAGACTACAGGCACCTGCCACCATGCCCAGATATTTTTTGTTTCTTTGTTGTTTAGCAGTCCCAGGCCAGGTTAGAACCCAGCAGCCCTGGTGCATATGGCCAGTACCCTAAGCACTGAGCAATGGACACCCAGCCTCTATTTACTATTCTCTTGACTAGAAAAAATTAGAAACCCTTATGCATTGTCTGTTATAATCATGAAGTTTACATACTTTCAATATGACTTTAATTGGTCTATTTCCTATGGAACAATGACAGATACTTGATTTAATACATCCTTATCTGAATAATTTTGTCAAAAAAATTTTCAATACAGTAAGATAAATTTAAAAACATAATAATTAAGAAATATCCTTTACTTATACCAGGCTTGGTAAAGTTCCTAAGATAATGCAAGAGAAAATGTTTTTAAGATTTTAAGATTCTGGCGGCGCCTGTGGCTCAAAAGGGTAGGGCACTGGCTCCATATGCCGGAGGTGGCAGGTTCAAACCCAGTCCCAGCCAAAAAAAAAAATATATATTTTAAGATCCTCCTTTCCCTTCCAAAAGGAGATATGATTAAACACCTATACTTTTAATAACAGGATTAGGATTGGAAATTTATTTTCAACATTCTTGATTCAATGTTTACACAAGTGGATTGTTGCTAACAAACTTAATCTGAAGCAATCACTTCTCTTTGTTTTCAGTTTAGAGGAAAGCAAGAAGTATTCCTATAGTACAAATGTGTGTTAGAATATGGTGCATTTATTAAAAAAAATATTTACTCAAATATAATAATTTTTTAATCTTCCTGTATGAAACTCTTCCACATTTAAGATAAAATAAAAATGCAAATGGATAGACTACCTGGCCTAATTTTATTAACATTATTGGATTTGATTAAATTGTCACTAAAATTTAAGCTCTAAAATTTTATTAACGTCAATGAATTGTCATTTGTCAATTATGCTTTCCACTATTTTTCTATAAAAATATATTTTTCTTAAAAAAAGTAAAAATAGAACCGATGAAAAGTCTTTAATAATCCACCTAATAATGCTACAGAAATAACTGTATTCAATCAATACCAAGAAGAAACATCAAAAAAGAAGGAAAACAAAGGATTAGGAATTTATATCAAGAAAACGCTAAAAACATTTATTCCAATAAATGACAAAGTATCATATATTGATGCCAAAATTGAATTATCCTAAAACTCAAAGCAAACTGCCTAAGACTTTTTGCCATTTATAAGTCACTATCAAAAGAAATCAATATTCTCAAAGGCAAATTCAGGCCCACAGTCTATTAATGCTTGGTATTCTATATCCTGCAACTACTGCCAACTGAAATTTATTATACTGTCTTTTAAAAAGTTGTTTTATAGTAGCTTTTCTTAGCATCAACAATATAAGTATCTCTAGATAAATACATTTAACCAAACCTACAAAGGGAGTAAGACTATATGATCAAAGATGTAGACACAAATTTTTTCAAGGTTCTAAATAAACTTTTAACACTTATTAATCTACCATTACATAATTACATTTTATTTAGACAGGCATACACACAGTGAGCTATGGAGCTTACTCTGTTTTTAAATGACACATAAAAAGAATTATCAGTGAAAGATTTGTTTTATATGGTGATAATCATGTTAATTTTTAGAATACTATCATGATATTGATATGGCTTTCAAGAAAAACTAAAAGCACCTCTACATTCAATAAATGCTGCCCTAAAGTGCTATCTCTTTTCAGTTTGCATGAGATTTGATGTTGCCCATCAATTCTCAGTTTCTTCCTCTTCATGAATCCCCAATCTCAAATTTTGTCAACCATGTTACATAAATGTTCAGAGCACAGCTGTTAAAAACAAATTAAGCAATTCTATCATTTTTTTAACTTTTTTTAATCAGTTAAGTTTCATTAAAGGTTTCTGAAATACTCAAAATGTTTTACATATTCTTACTTAAAGTAAACAAATTTTAATTAGGGGAGGAAAAAATAAATACATATCCAGAAAAAAATGCTGATTTTAAATAAGACCAAACATGGAAAAGGGTTGGTTTAGGGAGCTGCAGTAGTAGACACCAAACTTTATTTAAGCTACAAGGACGAACAGTTCTGCTGTTATTATAATACAGGAATCACACAGAGTTTTAAGTTGAAAATGATCTTCAAAGGTCATTAGTATAATATCTTATGCAATGCAAGAAAACCCTCCAGAACATCCTTGAATTCAACAAAGGCCATCAGCTCTCTTTAGGAAAAAAGAGCATATCACCTAACTAACCACCCCATTTTACTTTATCAGCTTTAATTATTTGCAAGCATTTCTACATGATGACTTAAAGTGTTCTTTTCTAGCCTTGGTTCTTGGGTTATAACTAGTCATTATACATTTGGGTTATACTCCCTGCTCTATCCCTATTCCAATTATATAGAAGCATCAGATGAAGCCTTGTCTAATGGACATCACAGATTGTAAGAGGAGATTCTGTTTCTTTAGTCATTTCTGATTGGGGAAGAAATATGGAGTCAAACTCAACATGATAATCTGAAAAATACTTATGATACCAGCAAAAATAAGTCAACTTAAATCTAAGAACAACCTGTAAGAGATTAGCACTAATATTAATTAATAATATTTAAAATTGTAATTTTTATAAAGAATATACCTTCAAAAAGAAACAGAAATATTGGCTCAGCACCTGTAGCTCAGTAGCTGGGGCATCAGCCACATACAACAGAGCCGGTGGGTTCAAATCCAGCCTGAGCCTACCAAACAACAATGACAACTACAACCAAAAAATAGCTGGGCATTGTGGCGGGCACCTGTAGTCCCAGCTACTTGGGAGGCTAAGGCAAGAGAATCACTTAAGCCCAAGAGTTTGAGGTTGCTGTGAGCTGTGACACCACAGCACTCTACCCAGGGCAACAGCTTGAGACTCTATCTCAAAAAAAAGAAAGAAAAAAGAAAAGAAAAGAAAAGAAAAGAAAAGAAAAGAAAAGAAAAGAAAAGAAAAGAAAAGAAACAGAAATATCTATCTCCTTAGAGTTCTCCTCTTAGTCATCAAAGTTCTGATCCCTAAAACCCTAAAAACTGGGACGCACATCTATTCTACTCAATAATTTTTTTTTCAAACTCTAAACTTATTTCTGATTTGAGTTCAGGTCTATTTAGCTGGAGATTCCTTTATAACCATTACAAGAAAGAAATACAAAAATTCTTCTTCCTGATATCACAGCAGAAAAACAGTAGAGTAATTAGAAACATTTCTGAGAATTCTGGGGCTAGGAATCCCAGTAATTATAAAAAGTCTAACAGACACTCTATGAAAAATTTTGAATTCCCTAATCCTAAAAGGATCTTCCTCTTGTCATTTTTTGCTACTACTCAGGATAAATCACTGATAAGTCAAAGCAATAAGAAAAGATTTTACAATTGAAACTACACGGATTTGTGACACAAAATCTCTTCAACTAAAATTCTTAAGCAACCAGTAATAGAAAGGGCCTTAATATCAATTAGATGTCAATCTTTAAAAGCTGCATTGCCCCTAGGTCTTGAAGTGTTCTCCATGTGTAAAGGACTAATTCATTGGATGATTATCTATCTTCTTAATTTAACACACTGGCCTTGTTAATTTCCAGTAATATTTACCTGACACACTATGTTGCTGGTAATTGTAGGAAGATGGAATTGCACCAATAGGAAGCTGTGGCTTTGGATTGCCTGGTGGTACCTCATCATCATCCTCCCCAAAATGATGAACTTTTTCGTACTTTTCTAGGTAACTGAAATAGAAAAACAGCACAGTGAAGACTTAAAAATAGACTTATGTCTTATTTTTAAACTCCTACCATTACATCTCTTTTTGTTTTCTAAATGTCCCCAATCTAAAAATAATACAAAAATACCGCCATAAACCTCTTATATTAGTGGAACAGAAACTTCAGTTTATTAGCAATACTAAAGATAAACTCAATATGATACTTCTAAAAATATTTTTGTATTTTCAAAAGACCGTAACAGTACTGAAGTAAAAATATAAAAGCAGAGAATATCAAAGGAAATATAGAGAACAGTACTTTCATTTAGCTTTTTAAAAAATATTACACATAATTATTATAAAAGAAAAGTAAAAATTAGAAGATTCCCTTACACCTGGCCACTCCAATCTTACCAGATTCATATGTACTTCTTCAATACATATGTACTTTCTATAAATATTTTTATTAAATAATATATTTTAGAGATCTAAGCATGCCAATACATACTCTACTGCCTCATTCTTTTTTTTAACAAACAA